TTTCAGTCAAAGGTACCGTTACCTCGTCGGTGAACCTCGGCTTCTTCTTCGGTAGAGTCGGCTGGGCAATGGGTTCTATCTGCTGGCTGGTCGAAGGAGTGGCGATCCTCTTGCCTTTGTTTCCAGTGGTGTTGGTTTGGACGCTCTTCCTCTTTGTTGCGACTTTGTTCCAGTCGCTGTTGTCCTCAGCCGTCGCGTCCAACATGGCGACGTTCTCGAGCACGCTGGGCGACGTCGCTGGTTTTCCCAGGGGCGCCTTTGTCTGCTGTAGGCTCTATTCGGCTGCTTCTTTCGCCTCCCTGATTTTTCTTTCTTCAGCGAGCTGCTTGGAGGGCTCGCTGATGGTGTTATTTAAATTGCTAATCATTTTTAGCAATTCATCGTACGACGGCTTGTCATCGCTTGGTCCTTTTTCATTCGTCTTCGCCTTCATTTTGACGGTTTCCGGCAACGCCGGAACCTTGCGCGTGGACAACCTTGGCGTGGGGTTTAGCCTCTTCATATTTGATTTGCCCTTGATATAATCTCTCGTGAGAGACGAGAGAATGATGTCGTCTATTTCTATAACGTTTTTGTCCGTCGTGATAATGACCTAGGTGAGCACTTTTCACTTTGTCCACGATTTTAGCTACGCCTTGTTGTGCTACACTTGTAGGCGATTCTATTCTTTGAACCTCAAAGAATCCTAATTCTTTGAACACTGTCTCAATTGTTTGTGTTTGGTTAATTATTATTAAAGCACTGTAATTTATACAAATCGACGAAGATTCACTAGCGTGTCACAAAAATCACGTAGGCTGTCACCGTTAGCGGCACTTCACGGATCGGTAGCGGAGCGCACAGGTAACACGTCCGACCCCTGCGAAGGTAGGCGAACGAATGGGGCCACGCTGCTTCTATCATACCTCCGACTCTTGTATCGTCGACACTCGTCAATCGAAATTTAGCTATTTTTAAAAATTTATTTCTCGAAAATGAAAGGCAGTCGCGCCTTCTCACTTGTAGAGATTGTTCTGCATACTCTTCTTTACATATGAAAAAATTTGATTAAAAAATTCGAGGGACACTAGGCGATGTCTCCTTGTGAGCCCGGTCTCGTTCAAAAAGCGCTCGTCCGGATCGCGACCTTCCCTTGTGAGCTGTTGAACATTTTCGAAACGGCTTTTTCTCCGCGTCGCCCATAAATTATTGTAAATATAATCCAAATTGTATTATATGTGGTATCATTGTAATCAGAAAAATGTCACAAATGTAATATGGAAAGTCTCGCTTATTCGGCTAGACCCTTACTTTTAGGTATCGCGGCATCAGGCAGCCTATTCGTAGGCACACAGACATGCCACCGAGTGTTGCATGAGTGTGTCTCAGCACGGCTGCTCGCACCAACGATACTACATTGTCGTTGTCCACATCAGACGTCTCGCTTGCTTATAAAGCCTACCTTACCGACGGCATGGTGTCTCTTTTGCTATGTGATTCTGACAGAGTTTCTCTATGTTCGGAAACAGTTATGAGCGCTTGTAGCGATAAATGCCGGAACTATATTTTACGTGTAACATGATAATCCTGGAACAGGATGCAAGGGCTTGCGTATTGTCCTATTTTTGTCTCGACAATGCAAATTTGAGACCTCTCATAGTCGTTTCCGCTAGATAAATGTTCAAACTTGTGCACAAGCTCCTATAGGTAGTCTACTTTTGTTTTTTTGTGTCATAATTAACAATATTCAGCAGCGTATGTTAGCCATTGAGCTCTATCCTAACTGGAGTGTGAACTCCTGTAGGAAGAAGTAGAGGCGACGGAGGTCTGAGAGAAATGCAAAATGGGTGGTTCCGGTATTATCCTATAGCAAATTTATTTGTAGAGGGGGAACAAACGTACGCCGTAACATAACCTACCCGAGCATCGCTGAGCATTGTCTAGTGAGTTACTTTCAGATTTTTTTGCGCATAAAATTAGATAAATACAATATAAATTGAATTGTGACAAATAATAAAATTTAGCTCTATACCAAATTGTATATATTTGTATGATCTAAATTATGGTATGTAAATTATGTATACTATTTTATTATTATGTCATTATTATTAATGTTTCTATCGTTTTATATATAAATAAAAAGGATATAAAGTTCAAATCTGTACATAATTAATCTGTAAATAATTCCTAGAGTGCCGAGAAATTCAAACAAAGAGGAGTCTGTTCTCCCTCCACACATAAATTTGGTATAGGATAGTATCACCGGAACCACTCGTCTTGCATCGCTCTCGGACTAGCTTCTCTCTCGCAGTTCACACTCCAGTTGGGATAAAGCTCAATGATGTTAGTTCAGACAACGCGGCAGCACTGTCGCACCACCATATTGCTTCTTTTGATCGCGAAATACTGCTGAATATTATTAATTATGATACAAAAATGCAAAAGTAGACTACCTATAGAAGCTTGCACACAAGTTTGAACATTTATCTAGCGGAAACGACTATTAAGAGGTCTCAAATTTGCATTGTCGAGACAAAAATAGGACAATACGCAAGCCCTTGCAGTTCCGTGTACGTATACAGTGATGTGGAGCTGTGTGAGTACGTACGAGCACATACAAAGCACGGGAGTCCACTCCCTTAACATCGGACAAGCGACAAGCATCCAGGAACAAAGCCCCGTACTCTCCCTTCTCTGAGCAGGCGTCTAACGATGAGACTCTTATAGATTATTCATTTTAAGTGTAATGATTATTAAATATATTATTATAATTTTAAATTTAAATTTATATGAAAATACTTATATTTTATTATTTAATGTTTTATTAATAGTTTCATCGATTATTTTTGTATCTTCAGACTCAATAAACTTTTATTTTTATTATGGAGTAAGATTAATTTTAACATTTATAATTATTGTTTATTGAGATTATATTTATTTTTTATAAATATAAATAAATTACATTCATTTATATAATATATTAACAACAGATTAATAATTGCAACTATAAAAGTGACTTTATTAACATTAATAGGATGCCTTCTAATGGTATGGTTTATTCTACTATTCTATTCTAGATCGCTTTTCGTTGAGTGCCGAATAGCGAGTGATCCTTTGTCCGTTCAGGTCCTCGCCCATTCATCTCTTGTTTATAAGACTGGCGCCTAATCGCTCAGCCTTTTCGGTAGCGAGGCCGACCGACGAGTTCCTTGTATGTATAGGATCCGCGGCTTTTTTGATCGAACTTTTGTTACAAATATTATCTTTTTTTATTAAAATTCCTATATATTTATTTCATGATTGGTTATTGAAAGCTCATGTTGAAGTTCCAGTTTTCGGCCGATAATTTTAGCTGTAATTTGTAGTTTATAACGCTGCTTCTGTGACATCTCCAACACTTATACGATTGACACTCGTCGATCGAAATTTAGATATTTTTAAAAATTTATTTTTCGGAAACGAAAGAGAGTCGCTCCTTGCCGATTTTACATACTCGACTTTCTTATATGTTAGATATATATAAAGTATTTAATTTTCTCGCGACGCGTGTTCTCTCAAGGTTCTGGAATAAGTGCCATGGAGTCGATCATGGTCCTCTTACCAGAAGGTATGTCACCTTCCCCACTCCATGGCCAGATCCTCCTAGAACACCCTTATCTCTTTACACGTGCCATGCAGCACCATGACGTCGGGTCATCGGCCACGGGACACAACTCTGTTGGCTACCGCCAAAAGAGGTGTATCGAGATCCTTATAGCTTTAACCATAACATCCGCGATTCTTAGAATTCGTCGCGCACCTAGCTATCGGTTACCACCGATCCTCAGCCGATGAGGGAGGGAGGGAGGGAGGGAGAGAGGGAGAGAGGGAGAGGATAGGCATAAGTACATTGTAACGTACGTTGTATACCTACTTTTTTCATCATCGCAAAAGACAATTTTTTCAATCTGTTGTAATCAATCCAAGCTAGTTTACACCTACATAATGTTTTTTACCAATTTCTATATATACACAACTACTTAAAAGAAAAATGTATGACCGCAGGCATTTTTAAAACTTACTACGATACTGAACCATGATGAAAAGCATCTTAGACTACTAGCGCAACAACCGCAGCAGAGACGATAACAGCGCTGCAGTGGACAGTGTGATAGCGGAGCAACCATATTGCCATACAAATCATCAAGATTTTACAGCAACGAAGCTCATCAAGTTTTTTGAAGCGAAGAAGCAATATTTTCTCACGATTCTTTTTCTAAAATATTCTTTACATCACTCCGCATGCCTCTCCATTGCCCGATTTTGCAATTTCACCTTTAAAATATGATAAAAATATGTTTTTAAGGAACAAATTTTTTTGTTTTGCAAATTTTCGAAACAAACGCTTGATAGGTCGATAGATTGACTTCCCCTGATTACGAAATGCATAATCATTATGTGTTTGTTTTCATTATTGTGCATAAAAGACGCGAAAAACTGTTTCGTAGTTCACCTATTCTCCGTTGCTCTTCGTAGGTGGCGCTAGTTTAGCTCCTGCGCAGCAAGACAACATTTTTGCTAAGGAAAAAGTTGTTTCAAATCACCTCCCGAACCACTCCTTTCAAGGTGTTACAACATTTTTGGAACACCCTGTATACCTATGTTATATTTTATTAGTTTCTTTACGTTTTTTTAATACTAAAACTTCTGATTTATTACTGGAAAATTTGAAACCGATTTTTAGCAACAAATGCAATATATTAAATACTATTAACCTCATCAAAATGAGTTGCCTGTATATGTGATAATGTATTTGTTAAGGTATTTGTATGAATAAATAATCTATAACGTAAATAAGAACAAATTTGTATTCTTATTCAATGACGACAAAATAAAACAAATATACATGTATATGGATATAATGTTTATAGATATTAATTTTTTACTATTTTTACAGAGGTAAATGTAAATTATGCAACATCGAAGGAAACGATACGTGAATAATGCGGATATGTAAACAAAGTTTTTATTTATGTTTAATTGATAAGAAAAGTGGCGCTAAGGGAGCATCGATTGACCTTTTAAACAGACCAGTGATTGCAAGCGCTGAGTTCGTTGTGCGTGTTCTCATTGGTGTTTGCTCAGCAAACTTTGCTGGTGTTCGACATGGGGTATAATAGGGGGTTGAAATTCGGTACAGCTGTCACTGTGCTGACAGTTTTAGTTGCAATTTATTTGAGAAATTCAGAAAACGTTCTTCAAAGACGTTTACAAGCATTAATTCACGGCTTAGAGAAACTCGAAAATAAACACGTGATCACATCGAGGCCGAAAGTTGCGATAGGTTATGGTGTATGCACTGACGTCTACGTGAATGCTGAGCAACTGTTAAAATATACCGAAGAAATTGGACAACCGGAGCATTTCGACGAAATAAACACAGAACTCGAATTGTTAAAAAGTTTCGCCTATTATTTTCGTCATGGTGCTGCTGCGGAGTAAGAAATAATTCGAGCCTTGACCTTTATTTAAATTTTTATAGGTTTTATTGAAATCAGATTATCGAAAGAGTACAGTTTCGAAGAGTTTCGAAAGCAAAGTCTGATAATTTATTTATGTCAATGTTTTGACTTTCTTCGGTTATGGTTTTAATTTTTTATTTATATTTCATTCGAATCTGTTTTATAATTTAATCATCTAGTAAGTAACATATTCCTGACTAACTTTTGTCACATTTGTTTATATTTCAATTATGAAAGTTCATAATTATTTCAGAAAACCTTCAGTATAGACCAAAACAGTGAAAAATAAAGCATCAGTCTATTTCAAATTATATTGATAATATTATTTAAGTTTTATTTTCATTGAACAAGGTAATTATTTTCATATAAATTCATTTCAGGAGATACATGGCCAATCGAACTTTATTCGACAAGCTTGTTGCTACAGCTCGTTCATTTCCATCTTCCTATTCTACTATTGGTGGCAATGCAGCAGTTATGGCACTGCGATTTGCAAGAGAAGGATGTGACGTAACGCTTGGTGCAAAATTGACCAGGTCTCTGCATCAAATGATACCACAGATTATTAATATTGTTGGAGGTGAAGTAAAACGAGATGACATTCACTTAGTTATTGAATATAAAAATGGTGATGTCTGGGGTCCATATACCAGCACCAGAGCTAACAGGTACAATACTTAAGAAATGTTAATAACATTATTTTGAAATATTGATGTCCTCAAATAATTGCTTAGATACATAGTTCACAACGATGCCCACAATCCAACGATTAGTTCGTTTGACGCATTCGACACTCTCCTTTCAACAAACGAGCCTAACTTGCTTGTTATTAGTGGCCTCCAAATGATGGACAACTACCCACTTCCAGATGGTAATAGCAATCACCATTTTCAATCAAATGAATTCGATGATCAGTCTTATGGAAGAAATTTACTGCAATGTAGGTGTAAGACACAAGCTTCTACTAAAAGTGAAGAAGCAAATGATGGATCGATCACCAACCACTAAAATTCATTTTGAGATGGCTTCTTTTGCAGAAGACAAACTACTTTTCGAGTTATGTGATTCAATCATACCATTTGCAGACAGTTTAGGCATGAACGAGCAAGAAATAGCAAATCTGCATAATGCTATGTATTATGGAAACATTTCTTTAGTAGCTAATTCTACACCGCGTATTGCCACAGTCTTAGATCAAATGCGAACGTTATTCAAACTTATACGCGCAAGGAGCAAGTCTGTTCCTAATTCTCGACAACTTACGAGAATTCATGTTCATACACTAGCGTACCAAGCCATATTTACTATAAAAGATTCTATGTGGAAGAATACGATGGCTGCTGCAGCCAAAGCATCATTGACAGCGCACAGGCACGTCTGCGCGACAAGCCACGTAAGTAAATGCAAAGAAAATGTTATAAATCATTTTAAAAAACCAAAAATTATCAATTAATTGTATGATCTAACGCGTCCAGTTCTTTCAATTTTCAAGACGTAACTATTAAGGAACAATGTTGAAGTTTCGAATACACAAAAGTTTAAAATATATTTCAGGTAGATGTTAGAAAAGCAGCTTTGATTTTAGACGACAGCTTTTCAACGTCTATCGTTGACGGCACTCGAATAGCACTGGACATCAACAAACCAGTGTCTTGTTGGGATGAAGTTTTAAAAGCAGGAAACGAGAAAATTCCTATTCAAGTATGCGTTGCACCGGTATTGGTTTGTACCGAGGCTGCTCAAACTGCCGGAGGCGGTGATAATATTTCAAGCGCGGGTCTTGTACTACAAATCTGAACAGAGCATTTTTTTTCGAAACACGATTGAACGACACTATATTATATTCTTTTTGTGTTACGGTTTGCTTGAGCACTCACGTGATAAAATTAGATTTCGATGCATAGAAGTTTCGGAAGTTTAGATTACCATTCATTCCACGAGATACCATTCCTACATATTGGATTGGTACATAATGGCCACGTTTTTCAAATTTAAAATTGCGGTCACAAAGATATCTGATGAAATGTTATATACCATTCGAAAGAGAATTTTTTATTTTACTAACAAGATTGATATATTTCTTGTTTTTATAATGAATTTAAATTTAATTGACTTTCAGATGTTTCAAAGAAAGTGTAAAGTTGACAAAAAAAAAGTAACACAATAAAAGGATGGCTAGAAATTGATTCACATGATTAAAAAATGGTAATTTCGACCTCAAAGATACTGCTCGCTGTAGATACGAAACACGAGCAAACCAGCAATAATTGTGAAACGGTCTTTATCATTTTTTAATCGAGTAAACCAATTTCGTGTTGTCCTTTCAAGCACTGTATCTTCTTCATAAATAAAAAAATTCTCATAAGCAAGCTTTCCAATAGCTTTAGTACCACGGTTAAACACGAGAGGATATTATCGAAAATGATCATTTTTGTCAACTTGACTTAACAAATTCGATTTTAATTATTTGCAATGTGTGTCATTTTGTTGCACAGTGTGAAAACATAAATCGCTTCATATCAAGTAACTTAACTTTAAAATCATGGAATTTATTGTAATATTTTGTTCATCTGAATATTTAAATATTGAGGGACATATTTATGACAAAAAATAAAAAATATCTTATATTTTCCGAATGTGTAATAACGTGTAGTACAATCGTCGATACACATTAGAAATCCCCTTCTTTTAAGCGTCAAAAAGAAAAGAAAAGAAAAGAAAAGAAAAGAAAAGAAAAGAAAAGAAAAAAAAACGAGTTTTAGGACACCCTGTATACCTATGTTTAGGTAGATGTATGCAAAAAATGAACAACAACCATGTAGATCTATTTTATTCGTTCATTAGGACCATGCATTACGTTGAATGACATTTTGAACGAAAATTTAACTCACATGTGGAATAGTGTACAATTAGATATATTTGAGGCTTTCACGGCTCAGTTCTTCACGTTTGATGGTTGATATTAACCGTGGCTTTTAGGTGTAAATCGTGTCCTTTGGATAAGTTACTCTAACGTTTTGTTAGCTTTACAATTGATTTCTTCAGGGATCAAATGATGCATTAATATACAGAGTGTTTTGCATAAATTGTACTCATTCAATATCTTATGAGAGAATAAAGTTACAAAGCTGGCGAAACGTTAGAAAATCTTATTGAAAGGACACGGTTTACACCCAGAAGCCTCAATTTGTATAAACCATAATTAGAAATTAACAGCACCATTACTTAAAATAAACGGTAATTAATTAGGGTGGAAGTTACTATGAAATGGACAAATCGTTGTCTAGACAAATGTCATTTCATTTCATGTATGTTTCATTGAGAAATGTTTAGAATTAAACGTAGTAGAAATTACTCGTGGCTTAAGTATCCTTACACACAAAATGCATATTCGAAAAATTTGTTCTTATACCATTGTTTCATTGTGACGTAGAAAAATACAATTGTATTTCACGGTAGTCTCGTCGGTAAATTGTTAAGCAACGTGTTCGAGGAAATGTTATGACAATACTGAACGAGAATATTAGTCATTGTTATTTATGCCTAAAATATAGTTGTCGCTTATGTATTGTGCCATGCGATATTCGATAAGCTTGACGAGAAAAAAAAGAATTTGTATTTCGATTATATACTGTATGGAAGTTGCACATTTTCAGAATCGAACACGGTGTCTTTCTTACACCGTGGGATCGAAGCAATGCGATTTTCGAACGAAAAAAATAAAGAAATGGGTGAAAAAAATAAATAAAACAAACGATACAAAAGAAGGTTCAACTTTTACTAATTACTCTGTTATACCCTATAGCTTTTTAATATGAATTCACATTTTCAGATTTTCATCATTTTATTAATGGAATACTACTGATGAATAAAATTTACATTTGAAAATTTGATTTAAAACGACATTTAACGCTGTTCGCAATGGAATTTTAAGTAAGCGTATTCCAACAGTCGAAGGAACCGATTCTTACACGTCTATACAGCGTTTAAAATATAATAATACCCTTAAGCACAATGTGTCGTCGAAATTACGGACTTGATTGAAAATTGAGTTTTCTTTTCCATGGAGAAAGTGTACACATACAATATAAAATAATTGCGTAACACTGCTATTCAACTTTCTGCGCTGGGTCATCGTGATGTACCGTTCAATTAATCTAGGATGAAAACAGTGTGTTCAATAAAAAAATAGTAAACATTCATAAGACATTTGTCCTTTCTTTAGTTATAACGATTGTTTCTATAATTAATATTTACCGAAATTGTTATCAATAACCAAGGAGGGAAACATTTACTACTTCTTATTTAGTTTACATAATTACATGGTTCAATTTAAACACATGTATTATATGAATTTCATATTGAGAAATACAGTAGGATGCACAAAATTTATGTTGACGATATATGAATACTAACACAGTTATCTGAAAAATAAGCATCGCGTGATATGCAAATTAGATGCGTGGAAGTAGTCTTCCATTGGATGTAAACAAATTTAAAAAAAGCGAATCTGAGAATAATTGTAATTATTTGGTGTATCGGTAATTTATTTCGTTTTATTATTGTTAAACAAATATTTTGACTCGATTATGGGTGCCTGTCAGGTAAACAAATAACTTAATAATTATACATATAGAATTATATCCGAGTGATTGTGATAGATTTTTTGGAAATAACTTGATCAAAACGTGAGAAAGGAAGCAATGGAAAACTCTGGTTGTATAATCTGAAACTCGGTCGAAAATAGTAGTACGTCATATTGGGGTTTTTTTGGATAATGCCCGTTAACGCGTCTATTGAATATAATAACAATACAAAACAATATTACCGACTAAATTCACTACTACTACTCATTAGTAGTACTAGTAAGGTACTACTCATTCGACGAGACAATTCTGAAGTAAAGAAATGAAAAAGCGTCATGAGGCACTAAGAATGGCCACCGTAACAGGGATAGGGCAAAAGTTGCTCTTTTCTCTGTAACGTATTTCTTATTCTAAATGAAATTTTATTCTACGCGTTAAACGAATAAAACACTTATCAATTATTCCATGGTATAAATGTTTCCCTCGTCTCCCGCGCATCTAATTTGCTCACCGCGTGGCATTAGCGTTCCTGCAATGTTATGACAAGTTTTGTGCCTCTTGTAAAATACAATTGTCGGTTTATGATGGATTAACACTGCGGATAAGAACCCCTTTAAAGAAAAGAAGAGCGAATACACGATAAAAACGGTTCATAATAAGGTGTCGAAGTAGCGAGATCTCGTCGAAAGTGAACATATTCGAGTCTGTACGTGTAAATTCCATAAAATGTTTTACAGAATGGTATCTCCTTCGTCGATGCCTAACATCTTCAAGTCGTCTGGTCCAGGTTGTGTGTCCACCTCGGCTTCCGCCTGCGTTATCTCCGGTGGCGGTTGATCCATGTACTCTGGCCCGTAACCAACGCAGCCCAACATACTATACATAGACGAGTACATGATATTAGTTTCTTGCTGACTTTGTTGCTTGGTCTCAGTTTCCTCCTTAGGGAAGATGATGTTCAACGCCTCTTGCAAATCATCAGGTAAAGGAATGCTTGGGTCCGTACGCTTCTCGGTGGGTTCTGGTATCTCAGAGATATCCTGGGTCGCGCTTTCCACGGTTGGTAACGGCGGTGGATTCGTCATGAATGGAGGATGGGTCTGCACCGGTGGACGCACCGGTTGATGAGGGGGGAACCGTGGTTGACTTTGAACGAACGGTGGTGGATTCGATATGAATGGTGGGGGAGGTTGACTCGTTGAAAACTGTGGTCTGGCTTGCATCGACGTTTGCTGTTGTTGCGACGATTGCTGAACTGAAAAAGATGGCGGCGGTCTGTTCAAAGGTGGCGGTGGATGAGGAGGTAAAGGTAGTTTCGCCACCGTTTGTGGTTGCTTCTGTTGCTCCATTATCGGTTCCTCTATCAAGGTCTCATCAGTCTGGTCCTCGATTTCCATATCAACCACCTGCTGCGTTGGTTTCGCTTCATTCAATACCGGTGGCGGCGGAGCTACCAATATTTTCATCGGTTGATTTTTGTTCACCTGAATCGGCACGATGGTGCTTGCATTATTATTGCTACTACCACCGAGGTTCAATGGAGTAGCAAGTTTCGTGATATGCACCACACCCGGAGGATTGATGATTTCGTTAGGAACCTTCGGCGTGTCCTCGAATTTACTTTGCTGGTAAGGTAGAGGTGTAATGTCCTTTTCGGGTAGCTTTGGTTCTTCAGTTTTCTTCTTGAACAGCGGCAATCTGCCGATGAAAGGCAACTTGCCTTTTGATACCTGAGGTGTTGACTTTTTCGTTTGCACACCACCCTTCTTAGACTTAGAGGCGGATTCGTTTGTCTTTTTCTCAAATTTTGACTCGTCGTTGGACGAGTTATCGTCTCTTCTATCTTTGCTGTATTTTTCGTAGTTTCTCTTTGGACTGTCGCGCCAATTCCTCTCGCGTCGTGGCGATTCATTGCTGTCTCGCTTTCGTCGATCATCGTAATAATCCCTTTCACGGTCCCTATCCCTATCTCTTTCCCTGTCTCTGTCACGTTCCCTATCTCTGTCCCGGCCGCGTCTTCTGTCGTATCTGCTGTAACGATCATATTTGTCTTCGCGTCGTTCGTATTTCCTCTCACGATCCTCTTTGTATCTGTCGTTCTCTCGGTCTCTATCGTCTTCCTTGTCTAAAGACTTGTTCTCGGGGGGTTTCACGGACATGTTGACCTGTTGCTTCGTCCAAAATCCCATGTGAGGTTTGGGCATCTCCTCCGGTTTCGGAAGCTCGATAGGCTTGTTTGCCATAGGTTGCGGTTTCTCCTCTTCCTTCTTTATCCAGAACGGCTTTGGCGGCTCTTTCGGACCCCATGCCTCTAAACTTTCTGACTTCATTTTATTTGCAAAAGGAGTCTGTTCTTGGTCCTCTTCTTCCTCGACAATCTTCTCTTGACTTAATCTGCAATTACTCAAAGACTTCATTTCCTCCTCCTGTTTAGCTTTCAGTTTGTCCCTAATTGAATTTAGCAATTGTCTGTCGTCGGTTTCTGTCGTCTGCTGTTCTGGCGTTGGTGGTTGATTCATATGTTGGTTCACCTTCGACCAGTGACCCTTCAACTTTATTCGGTGATAGTCTATCTCCTCGTTGAGGATTGCCTGGGTAGACGCTTTCATTTTGTTTCGCATAGCGACACGTATACTCTTGGACATGTCTTGATCGGAATCCGTATCCGAATTATCGGAATCGCTCGTAGTGTCGCTACCACTGCTTCTGTTTCTTCGTTTCTTCGACTTCTTCGACTTCTTTTTGCTCTTCTTCGACTTCTTCGACTTCGTCGGTGGGTCATCGTCTTTATGCTTTTGCAACTCCATTTGGATCTGTTTGTGCTTGTCCTCGGAGAATGCTTTCTCACGGTCTGCCATCCAATCGGTCTCCCAATGTGGATTCTGTTCGACGAAACTCTGTGTAAAAATGAACATTTAATTTACTGCTTGGTATAAAAGAATTTGCCACAAAATAATTACGTAACCCGTAGATGGATTATACGTTTAACTTCGTTTCAAAATACGAGCAATCTTTTTAATTGTAACCTTTAATTTTAATTGGTTTTATTAGTTAACTTAAGGCATTTTAGTTTTACGTCAATACGCTATTGAATGCCAATGAAACCATTTCATTTGGTTAAAAACAAACATCACAAACGCGTGAATATACCAATAACAAATGTTCCTGTCGGGTAATTTAATTTTGCACCGATAGAGATATCCAAATGTTAATTTTTCTTTTGAATCCAATGTTTTGTCGGATGAAAAAATTGTTATCATTTTGCTAATAAATTAGGTTTCCTCGATTCCTTAACAATACTTTTGAAAAACAAAATAATTTATTTTGTAAGACAAAAAATGTCCTACAAAATAGTATACCTTATTTTTCAAAAATAATTAAATGTAACATAGAAAATGAATGAAATAAAATGTCTCACAGCTTGATGCCAATGCTTTGTCCGCAAATGTATATTATTTTTGAGTAAAGATGATTAGATGGACTTACGGAATAATTTTCGGAATGCTGCTTAGATTTCAGGTGCAAACTCGCACAATGAAGATCGCCTATCCAGGAGTCGCAAAGCTTACAGTACCACGCTGTCGCAGCGCTGAAGAACTGCAGGCCTATAATCAAATGAATTACTGCTTAGCATTGCTTAAGCTTTGAAAATGATAAACAATTTAAGTTCATAAAGAATGACCTTATATTCTGCCACGACACATTCATGTCACTGAAAACAAAAATAATATATTAAAAGGTGCTCAACGAATAGCTGATACAACATTAAATATTCTTCGGTAGTCCCACGTCGTTCTCTAGAAGAAAAGAGGGAGGGAGTAGAAAACCATGCTTTATTTGTACAGATACCGCACAAATCGTACAAATGAAATAATAAATATGATATATAATTACATGAAGTTGTATGAACTTCTGTCTCACGTGCTGTAACTGCCTCTTATATTTTTGCTAAAATTGTTATCAATTAATCATTAATATATTGAAGACATTGTAATTATTGCAAATTTTTTGTATACTTAGATGAAAAAACAAGAATTTTGGCACTCACAGTACGTTTCACAAAAATATTTATATCATGAACGTACATATATTTGAATATACAAGTTGTCCAAGAAATGTTGGTGGTCCTTGAAAGGGGTGGTTCGGGGGGTGATTTGAAACAACATTTTCGCTAAGGAAAAAGTTGTTTCAAATCATCCTCTGAACCACCCCTTTCAAGGACCTCCAACATTTTTTGGACACCCTGTATACAGGTATATATAGATGTAACAAATATACCGAGTAAAATAAGTAACACGAGCAATTGCCACAGTTTACACATTTCGCATCAATTAAATACGTTGTTTTTTTACACACACCATCATTACGACAATACCGATTACTTATATTGATATTTTCTTTCACAATCGATAAATAGTCTTCTTTCGTTCGTTCTTGACCGTAAAGCTCGATCTATGTACGACGATTCGATGAATTATACACTTGCGACGAATAATTGGATAAACAGCTCGATTATAGAAACAGAAATATCTGAAACCGCTCGGAATTGTACTCCTCGGGTCCATTCGTTTAAAAATCCAGTGCATCTCTACGGTATTTTACCATCGTTGCTACAAAATTTGCTGCTAACAACGTGATATAGATGGACACTTTTCAAGAGAACAAACAAGAATAGAAAGAAAAGCAACAATATTCCGCGCATTATATGGGAAATTATGAATAGTAAAGAAAATATAGAGACATCTTTCTAATGCGCGTATTTACTCTCAATGATTAGGTTAGAAAAGAATTTTTTCTTTCTTTTAAGCGGCGCTTTTTTTGTACAAGATTCGATTCCACGAGTCGACATTTACGTTTTAATGCAGACAAATTTTCGAGCAAACCATAGCCGTAGGTCTCTTCAATACATACCACAGTGTCTGTGCACAAGCTACGGAATTGTATTCTATTAGTAATTATCCACTGAAATGAACCGTACCTTTAATCGGTGTTCTTTTCGTTGGCAGTCCAGGATAATAGGGCACTTCCTTTTCCGTTCCCTCTCCATTCCGCTCATGCCATGGCATATCAACTATCTTCCGTTCCTGTTGTAGGGAGCAAAACGTTAATAAAACAACGCTCGTTACAAACTGTACGAGACAATACTCGGTGGTACTTTTTAAGTGACACTGTTACGGTACACCAATCAGACTATGTACCAAGTACCTGCACGTCGATCGTTACTGTAATACATATATCATCCTTACACGAAATATAGCTCAAATTAGAATTATACATAGTCTTTTAACCGAATCCGTTTTCGTTCTCTCGCAACCGTAAATCAATAATCAGTTACATTTTTTTTCAGCAACCTGTTCTAATGATTGTAAATTGTTATTTAGGAAAAACGATCGTCAATTGGGAATATTTCTAGATTTGATTATTCGAAAGTACCTATACCAAAAAGTTGAAGGAGGGCTTTTTACTAGGGCTCTACTATTATCAACGATAGGGCGACTTACTAAACAAGCTTCTTTGTGCTCATTGCTATGCAGATGATTCAAATATTCCTTTGCCGTTTTAGGAAATATATCGCAGACTTTACACCAATGCATTTCTGGATCGTAATGCACGAGATTGTACATAGGTTTCGCATCTTCGGGAGACTTTCGTTCTTTCAATTCCCTTTCGAGTTTGGACTCCTTGTCAGAATCAGACACTGACGATCTGTCGGGCGACTCTGACTTTCCTTTCGGAAAGTCTTCCTTGGGACTTCTCGAACGTTTGTTAATTTCTAGCTTAAACTTGCTTTTAAGATCGTCAACAGTAGCTTTGTCACCGATAATTCCAGTAAGCATGTCGATGACGTTGTGTATCGATTTCATTTTGTTTTGTATTTCAATCTGTAAACAAAACGATTAAAGTAACGACGATTCGTTCCTGTTTTCAAAAAAGTGTTTGAACAAGTGGCACAAGACTTATACACAACGCACAAATCATACATATCAAACAGAAAAAAACATACAAAAGATAAAAAAACACCAAAAACATAGGCTTCATCGAATAAACTTATCTATCGATACTTGATCAAAAGGTATAGAAGGTAAAGGGGGTAAAAAGAAGTGTCCTTAGACCGATTTCGATTTGCAATGATATATTGAAAGGAGGGATTATAATGAGGGAGAAATACGGGCTTGTACTAAAACATCAGGAGAGAAACACGTAAAAGAGTAAGGAGGCAGAGGAGGATAGTAGTTATCGTCCAAAGATAAATGTGTTGAAAAAAACAATACAATACTGATGTGGAGGAGAGGATATTGGAAAATATACCTAGAGATACAATTTATACTCAGGTGTTCGATGAACAAAACGACTTAGAGATAGACCAGAATGTCAATGACAGCTACAACAAGAACGATAATAATGAAGACTCTTATTTACACAAAAACGAATGATCTATCCAATTAAAACATGACTCAGTCTATTAAAATTATTTTTTGGAATTGTAGGATTGTAGCATTAAAAATAAAAAGTCAGAAATAGAATATCTATCTAAAGAACCAGATATAATTACACAACACGATTTTTTTTCCGCGATATCCACTAGGTGATTCTTATAGGGTTCCTCGTCCTAAATACGAATCTGAAAGTGAAATTGCTCCATCGCCCTTAATTTTCGAAAAATACGAGATTTTGTAAAAACGGTCAATTGTTAGAGAAAACGTAGTACTACTTGAAAACTACGAAC